TCAGTTAGTTCTAGTAAGTGATGGCACATACCTTGGAAATAGCTCTGTAGGTTTCCTGGTAGGTGTTTGCTTCAAAAGGCGGTTTCCCTACTAGGAATTCATAGCACAGTACCCCCAAGCTCCAAATATCCACCTTTTCATCATGTGTTCTTCCCTCAATCATTTCAGGTGGCAAGTAGTCAAGGGTCCCACAGAGAGTTGTTCTCCTGAAGAATTTATGTTTCAGTTTGTCATCTTTTTTCTTTATGGCAACTAAGATCAATTACAAGAGCCAGAGAGAAGCCAATGCTTGCAGCCACCTGTAGTTCGGCATAGTATGCTCTAGATGCAGCACCACTATAATATCCAATAAAGAAATACCAGCAGTAACTGCTCCTTTAAACAAGCAAAGTCAKTGAGGCCACACTCCTACCCCTCCTCCTCTAGTCTCACCAACTGTGTGAGATAGAGGCTTCCTTTTTGTCAGATGCAATTCAAGCTTATTCTTGAGGAATAATCACAACTATATTCCTAGGGCTCAAGTTCTTTACTGCTGTGGCCCTGCTGCTTTAAAGCTTAAGGATGGGAATTTTTCYAGTAACTTTACAAGTTCACATTTACCTCTGCCCAATAGTTAAAGCTGTGATCAAGCTAGTGTTTACAGCACAGAAGTATCTGTGTAAGGTTTGTACGCATCGCATTCTTACCTAGAAGATGGAGCATGCACTGACCATCCAAAGTCAGCAATTTTTAATTCGCCATTTGAGCCAAGCAGCAAGTTTTCTGGTTTGATGTCCCTGTGAATCACGCTCTTTGAGTGACAGTAAGACAAGGCATCTGCTAGTTCCGTGATGTACTGTAGTTAAAAAGAAAACAAATTTTCACGTACAGAGGCTTTACAAAGGAACAACTCTGTTACTCTAGATAAGCTGGCTACAGCATAGTATTCTCTGTTCAAGAAGCTAGAAAAACCTACAGTGGCAGTTCTTTGCTCATCAAACTTGGTGAGCTTCTGAAGCTCTTTGTAGACTTCTCCACGAGGTGCGTACTCCAGAATCAGGTAGACTCTTGTAACATCATGGAAATAGCCATACAGCCTGAGAATGTTGGGATGCCTGCAGGAAGATAAGAATATTCTTCTGAACAAAATCTTTGTGCATTACTCCATTCCTAGTTACAGGAGACAGCACAGGATTTTTCTTAGATTCCAGCCTAGACTCCTGAGAAGTTGCAGAGTTACCCATATAAATGCAAAGAGAATAGCAATAAAGAAGATTTTATTATTGTGGTTGCTTCACAGCTAGTTAGACAAAAGGTAAATCTTACACTCTTGGGCAGAAACGTAACAATAAAAACAAAAGCTTTTAAATTAAATAGCTCRTCTTCACTGTATGCTACCAGAAACAAACTTATTTTACTTTTCTCCTTAAGTCACAAGCTAGACAGTGTGRTTTTTTTTAAATTAAACCTTACCTGAGATGAGATTGTATTTCAACTTCTCTTCGTAGCTGATGTTCTACTCCAGCCTCCTCCAATTGTGTTTTAAATAGCACTTTCAGTGCAAGAATAAATTTACTCTGCTTTTCACGTGCCAGGTATACATTTCCAAATTTTCCTTTCCCCAGAGGTCGACCAATTTCAAAGTCATCAAGAGACCACTGCCTTCTGCAGAGATACCACCAAATTACGTCAAAAATCCACCCAAAGTACCCAAGTGTATTCAGGTTGTACAATAGAATACTTCATGATCCAAGCTGGATTTTCATCTTTAAGAGAACATTGCCAAGACGACAAAATATGCATYGAAATTTAAGAGAAAAAGCTCAAAGACAATCTCTTCCTTTCTAAACCTTGCACACAGAGATGCTAACAGCAGCCACATCTTGCTGAAGAAAATCAAGACTGCATATACAAGACCAGGGACATTTCTGTACAGTTAATAGACTTGCACTTACCATTGCAAGTCAGAACTGTGTTTTAGAATTAGCCACAGTAAGCTTTATTCATCCCTAACCAGATTCTAAYCTGTTGCACATATGAAGGAGGCATTTTTCACTTTTACTTGTTGTGACAAGAATAGGGTTTATCAGCATTCTCTCATGGAAAGAGGCATTACTCACCAAAAGCTTTTCCTTAGGGTACAGGAAATTCTGGTTACTAAGGATTTTTAAGTTAAAGAAAGCTCTCCTAGAGATTCATTTAAAAAAATTATAACTTTTAAGTGTTGGAACACTCCTCAACAGTTAAGGGGCTTGAGTATTGTAACTACTACTTACTAGAGCTAACTTGCTTACTCACGGCATGTAGGCCTAGAAGTTAGAAGAGAGCCTAATTCTCTACTAGCTAGAACACTGAGGTACAGAACAACTTACTTTTTTGTCTCTTCATTTTTCTTTTTGGTAGTCTCTTCATTTTTCTGTTTAGATGTGCTTTCTGCTTCAGCATTTTTTGCTATATATATAAAGGGGGAAACATTTTTGAACAAAATCCATAAGCCCAGCACAAAAATGCATGTGAAGAGCAAGTTTAACAGTGTAGTATCAACTTAGTTTTAAAGTAAACTGTAAAGTAGCATAACAGTTGAGTCATTATCAAAAAGCAACTCCAAGAAAGCTTTTATAAATTAAGAGAAATATTTAAAAGTTCACACCATCACCCATATACCACTATTATTCACGTTAATCTCTTTGGTACATAAGACTATGATGAATCAGTGCCCATTTCTTTAATTCTTAATTGACTAATAATTATCTGGAAGTCTTTTGAGAGCAAGAAACATCCATATTGGCTCTAAATATAATCCTGGTGCAGTAACATCCAAGATCAAACATGATAATTCCATTTCTGGGTGCAGCCCAGTATTTCTGCATAGAACTCCTACACATTAAGATCAGCTTTGGAAATTTTGTATTGGTTTTCACTTCATAGAATAGAAGCATTCCAAGCATCACAACTCTTTAAAAACATCTAACATCTTCATAATTACCAGGTGCTGGAGCCTGCTGAGGTTTTTCAGTGTTCTTGCTTGGAACCTGAGGCCTAGCAGTTGATTGGACCACAGTTTTTGGCCGAGGCTGCTGCRCTGTCTGATTGTTTGACAGTTTTTGGGTTGACAGTGCAGATTTTTGTGACTGTACAGGAACACGCTGGGGCAAGTTTGAAGGACACAGAACACGTTGTGCTTGAACTCCACCACTTTGTAACCGGTTCTGAGCAGAATGCTGAGGCACAGGGACACGTTTTGGGCCATCTCCAATGGAATTCAGAGTCTTCAAAAAGAAGCATGTTTTAGTTATAGCACATCACACCTTACAGCCCCATTTAATAGACTTCGATATGAATAGGAGGTAGAGAGAAARGAATGTAACAAACCAACTACTTGGCCTAAAGTTCAGTTTCAAAATTGATAACTAGCTCCCTAGCTCTTTACATGAATATTGACCCTCTAATGATTCCTATGTAARAGTTTATACTTCTTTTCCCCCTCCCTCCTATAATCACTCAGTCTTCTGGTTCAGTTCAATGAACCTTAAAATTCTTATAAAAGTGTTTTATTCATGTTATTTCTAAAGCCTTTACATGGAGTTTCTCACTTTCCAAGTTTTAAGAAGGAAAATGTATTTGTGCATCTATATGCAAAAGTTACTCAGGTTTATCTTGAGCATTCTACATATGAATATACAAGTATATTGACACACAACCTGCTTCTGGAAACTATATCTGGAATAARTTGTGCACATACACTTGTTGTCCAATTAAGCACTGTTACATGCAAAACATAACAGGAATTTCTTAGCTAASAAACAACATAGCTATATTATCGAGACAAGTAAGCTTTGAGCAATGCTTTCACCAAAAGAGAGACTTAAAGAAAGTCAGGGATTGTTTCCTGTGAAAAGGAAATGGCACTTCAAAGCGCATTTCCCTTTTTGTTATTTAAGCAAAGCGCCACCATGAAGAGTTTTAGAGCWATAGGACTCATACAGTCAAATGAAATGGCACGTTATTTACCTTGGGAGCATGGCTATGGTATCCAGAACGGTTCTCTTTAGTACTCTTATCCATGATGCCTGAGAAGAAGGGCATGTATAGATTAGCCTATAGACGAGACACGCTTAGTACCAACCAGCTCCACACACAACGGCCTCTAAGGCCGGGCCCGCGCTCCCGCCTCCAGGCGACACCTCCGCCCCTCGCCCGCCAGGCTGGAGCCCAGGACCCCTCGYGCAGGGCCCTGGGCGACATCCCCGGGCCTGGGCCCCGTCCCCGCCGCGCTCCGCTCACCGCGGCCTCAGCTCCCTCCGGCCGCCAACGCTGTTTGAATTCAAACCGTCCTCCCTTAAATACCCTTTAAACTACCGCCTCTCCCCCATTGGCCCGTCTCCCGTGGCCTGCGCCTGCTCATTGGCTCCTTTTCAACCGCCTCGCCCGCCCATTGGCTCGCCGGGCGCTCCGCTCGTTGCGGTGGGCTGCGCCTCGCCGCGGCGAGCCACCGGGGCGCATGCGCAACGGCAGCCTGCTGCGTACGGCGCGTCGGGCCGGGCCGCCCGCCCCCAGGGCGGTGTTTGCGCTACATGCGTATTTTACGTAGCGTCCCCCCGCCGCTGGCTGCTTCCGTACTCCAAGTGCGTGGATCGGCGCCCCGCACACACACTTTGCTCCGCCAAGTCTCCGCTCGGCCGGCTCCGCCGTTACGCAAGTCGCGTAGGGCCAAGCCACCCACCTGTGGCAGCGCCGCAACTGCCGCCCCTTGCCCGGAGCCCGCGAGGCCGCAGAGCGCCCCGCCGCCGCGGGGGGAAGGGCTCAGGTTAGTCCCGCATCCCGCGACCCGCGCCGCTCGCCGCCGCACGCGCGCACACCGGCCTCAGGGAGAGGCGCTGCCGGCCCCTCGCGCGAAGCTGAGCGCCCGTGGGCTCGGGGCTATTGTGTCCTGCCAGCGAGGAGGTGCCGCGGGGGCAGCTCCCCGGCCCGGAGGAACCGCGGGACGAGCCAGGCGCGGATCAGGCCTCAGCCTCGAGCAACCCGGCGCCACGTGCCCTGAGCTCTCGAGGACAGGCACGAAGTGATCGCCCAGTGCYGCCCGGACAGGGTGCCACCAACAACCCACAGACACGTGTGAGAGGGACAGGCGGACTGCCGTGCTGCACCTGTGGTGACACCGGGCGCTGCAGCTTGGCAAGCCTGACGGGTCTTTGAAGAGACCCAGCGTGAGATCGGCGCGCTCTGTGAGGACAAGCGTCGCCGGAGCTCGGCCGGCTGTGCTGTTGCGGAAGGCAGCTGTCTACACGGTCCCACTCACAGCTGTGAGGAGGACCCGGGCCGCAGAGCGGCAAGCGGCAGCCAAGCCCAGCGTGAGCCCGCCAAGCACCTGACTGAAGGCAACTCTAAGCGGCCCTGCAGCGCTGAGAACCAGCGCGGAGACAACTTCTGCTGCGTCGGTTCTCCTAAGTGATCCAGGATAGGTAAAAAGAAGATGTCAGGTCGGAGGGTCGCCGCGGCGTGTGATAGACGACAGCTCCCGCGGGGCATGGGCAGCATGGCATCCCCCCTGCTTGACCCGCGGCCGCTCCGACTGCCCTTCCTCGAGGCTGACGTGAGTAGGGCTTTGGGGAGGGTGGTGTTTGCGCCCTGGGCTTGGGCTGCGCGGCCGCGCGCGGTGCTTGTTACAGCGCGGCTCCTCAGGGAGGCCTGCGGGGCGGCCGCGCGCGGAGCTCTGCAGCCGCGGCCCCCACGCGGAGGGTCCCACGGCCCCGGCGGGCGCAG